TCTGAGCCACACCTGTTCTTAAAGGTTCTTTATTTATCCTTTACATAAATAACTTTACTGAAAATTCCTATTGAGTTTGTCACCTGTATGCATCGGTTCAAATAAAATTCATGAAGTGTTACAAAACAAGGTGCCTAAATATATGCACAGCGTGCCAGGACATCTCAGCTTTATGTTTTGTTAAATGCTATGCCTATCCTCAAAAGAAAACAAGTAGACTCAGAGGCTTCTTCTTTCCATGACATTTTACAGTAGCAAAAGTATTAAGGCCCATCTTTTCAACATGACTAAATATTAACAGAATCACAGAATTCAAAAGATCATCCAATCCAACCCTCTCCCAATGTAGGATAATCATTATTACAGCATCTTCTGATAGTTGACTAGCTTTTGCTTAAAAACTTAAAAGAAATTCCACCCCGTTTGTTTTTGAAGATACAGGAAGAAAATTCTTTGAAATATTATAATGTTCAGTAAATTATTACACTTAAATACCACATTAGCTATACCTCCTTTTGAAAAACTTTTTTATTTTGAAGTAATCATAGTAAAAGCCAGGTACTGACAAATAACACAATTGCCTTTTATGGTGGCAAATTGTCTTTAGCTAGTAGCTTCAGTTCTCCCCAAGATGAATCCTCAAATTCTAAGTGCTATAGAATTAAGATTTAACCAAAGTAGCAGCAAATTAGCAGTAATTTACGAGCCTTGAAATATAACAATATTTTCAAATCAGCAGATGGAACAATGTCACCTTCCTAGAGTCCCACTTAAAGGATATTGACTTAATTTTGTTTGAAGGTAACAAAGACATGCAGTGATATAACAAGATTCATACCAAACCCAATGAAGATAAAAGCTAATTAATCTGAAAGCCAGCAACCCAGAAATATCCTGAAGTTTGTGTGCATGCTCAAATATAACAAATAAACTGAATCCAGGGAGTAATTATGCATCCTGCCAATTCCACATTTCCTGCATTTTGCTAGAGTGAACATTGGCTTGGATCCAGAGTTCCTACAATCAGAACCCTCCTGACAGAGCACTCCTACTGCAGGAAGTGGGAAAGGCGACTTGATCCCTGCCCCTTCTTGCAGCACCTTGAAAATGTACTCCATTGAGCTGTGAGATTCTCCAAAACAGGTTGGAAGGTGTCCCAGATGCTACCCAGCGAAATCAGCAAAAATCAGACCATCATCTTCTCCAGAAGGAATATCCTCTGCTCAGCTGTGGTTCTTTCATGAAGCAATACAATATTTTGATCACAGAAAGGTACTACATCTACATCTGTTATTTATATAATGACTTTTTGGAATTGATAATTTTAAAAAAGGAATAAGACATTAAGCTCAGTTGACTTTCATCAAGGAATTGGAGTATCAGGAAGAAATAAAAGATTGTGTTTGTTTTAATTATCTGTTTATTGTACTTTGAAATATAGTCAATTCATTGCAAAGTATTCTTTCCCTCAGTAGGTGAATCTACTTGAGTCAGATAAGAGAACTTTGGAATTGAACCTTTAAGAGCAAAAACAATGGGTAGTTTTCTGTAAAATGCTTTGGGGGCACAGTCGTGTGAAAAAGAAAGTACACCCACTTTGAGTTCTATGGTTTTATGTATCAGGACATAATAAAAATC